GTCAGTTCATCCGATGACAGGTAAGGACCATATGTTGAATTGGACTACCTAACAGGCACGGTCCCTAAGCCACATTACTTGTGGTTTCATTAAACAGAAGGGGGGAGATGCTGAGAGCCACAGCCAGTCTGTATGGCCCCTGGGCATTTTGCCAACAGTATTGATTGACAGGCAAGGCATAAATATCTGCCTCTGCCGCTACTTCTGAGTTCTCGAGCTATTTTGGAGTTCCCGTGCTATTTTGGAGTTCTCATGGGGATTTTCAGGGATTCCCCGAGAGTTCCCATTGGTTGGGGAAGTGCAGGAGGAGGGAGTTCCCGGAGAGCTATTACCGGCTGGGGGTTCCTGCAGGAGCCTAGTGGCTTTCGGAGAATTCTCCAAGAGCGTGTGTGAGGTTTTTTCTTGCAGTTCAAAAATAAAGTTTGTTCCTGCTTCAGTGGCTCCTAATTTGTGCCCAGCCAGACTGCGGCATAGCCTGATGTAAGGAGAGCTTGATGATTTATCTGCAGAGTAAAGAAAGGACCAGGGCTGGGGTCATGGCTCAGTGACAGAGCACTTGCCTAGCATGTGTGAGGTACTGGGTTCGATTCTCAGCATCACACATAAGTAAATGAATAAAGTAAAGGTCCATCAACATATGAGAAAAGAAAATAAAAGACAGAAAGGACCCATCCTAGACCCTCTGATTCTTGGGCAGCAACAGTCAGACCATTTTCAAGATTTCCTCTTCCAGGGCCTTTCCCTGCCACCCAGGCTAGACTGGCTTCTGCCAGGTCCTGCTCTCCAGCCCTACTGGGAGCCCTTGGTCTTCCTCCTTCATTTGTTCTTCTCCCTCCATCTCTATGCCAATCTGAGTCCTGAGTGGACTAGAAGCTCTTCTTTGCTCCAAATCTTTCCCTGGTTTCCAGGACAGGACTGTGAACACTGGGAGTGGAGACAAGACAGAACAATATGATAAAGCAGAACCTGCTGGTAGGTCTCCAAGAGGGTCTCTGACCTTCAGCAGTCTCTGTCTCCTGGAGAGTTGCATGGCCTCAGCCAAACCCTACTCCTCTCCCTGCACCTGTGCCAACCCTCCCATGCTCACTTCTTCTTGCAGCCCTCCAGCGCCTCCTGCACTTGGTTGAGCTCCGAGGCCAGCCTCCCACTGTCAGCCTCTACATACTCGGCCTCCCGCCTCAGGGTCTCGATGTAGCCCTCGAACAGCAGCTCCAGACTGCTCTGGCAGCACTTGTGGTTCTGATAGAACTGCCACTTGGTCTCCAGCAACTTGTTCTGCTGCTCCAAGAAATGCACCTGCCACCCAGAGTGGAGGAAAACCTCAGGGTGGGAACCTAGGGAGGGTGCCATGTCCCCAGAGCTCTCTCAGCCCTGGGGAATAGCACCTGCCCTGCAGAAGCCCATGAGCTTCCCAAGGAGACCAGCTCATTGGCAAAGTCTGGACGTTCAGGTCATAATCATTCCCCAAGTAACTTCCTCCGCCCATCCCAGAAGGAGCACATGATCAACCATCATTTGTTCATTCTGCTCAGAACAAAATGGCATCTGATCCTGCAGACTCTGTGTCACAAGTTCAAATTAATAGTCCCTCAAAGATGTCTGTTCTCTAGTCCCCAAGACCTGTGAATGTGTTATGTTACATGGCAAAGGGGACTTTGCCTATGGAATTAAGGTTATGGACTTGAAGATTGGGAGATTTTCCAGCTGGGTAAAAGGTAGTCACAGGGACAAAGTAGAAGAGGAAGGCCAAAGAGTGAGAGAGATGCTCAGAGGAGGCAAAGAAATCATTGAAACATAGGATGACATCAACCCACTATTATGAGCAGAAGAGTCCACTAGCCGATGGCTGTGGACAGCCTCTAGAAGAACCCCTGCATCCAGCCAGCGAGGGACCACATCCCAATCCTACCACCATATGGACCTCAACTCTGCCAAAAGCCTAAATGGCCCTGGGAATAGACAATCTCCAGGACCTCCAGAAAGAAATGCAGCCCTGCCAACACACAGGTGTCAGCGTCATGAGAAGGTCAATTTGTGATATTTTCAGCTACTAAGTTTGTGGGCATTCATATGGCAGCAAATAAAAAATGCACCCTTGGGCTGGGGATGTGGCTCAAGCGGTAGTGCTCTCGCCTGGCATGCGCGGGGTGCTGGGTTCGATCCTCAGCACCGCATAAAATAAAATAAAGATGTTGTGTCCACCGAAAACTAAAAATAAATATTTAAAAAATTCTCTCTCTCTCTCTCTGTCTCTCTCTAAAAAAAAAAAATGCACCCTCCACAACTCTCACTCAATCTGATCCTGGGGCACTGAAACCCAGAAGGGGGGAGGGTCCCAGGAATTAGGGGACCCAGCTGCCTAATTAGGCCACCAACCAGGCCACTTGGCCTCCTTCTCTCCAATTCTTATTGCAAACAGAGGCTCTGGCAATGCTAGGCCTACAACTGATGTCTTGTAGCAGCTGTCCAACACCTTCCCCCACCCCCTGCCCAGATAGGCACACTTCTCAGTGTGGCTTCATTCATACCACCTGCCACACCCCCACCTAAATTTGTGATTGCCAGCCCTAAACCAAGTGATTTTCTCTGGAGCTCAATCTGGGAATACAAGCCTGGTACAAAGAATGCTCAATTGTCTATGCTTGTGGAAAAGGACCCCAAACCCTGATTTCCAAAGGGCGTCTTCCTTAAGATTGAACATGCAGGTCAAGGCCATGGACAGCCCTCTAGCTTGCTGCTTTGCAGGATTAAACCCATCAAATCTATGCTGTTTGTAGTCTGGAGCCCAAAGCCCTCTGGAGCCCAAAGGAAGGACCCTGGGAGGAGGGGGTGGCTATCTATCGGCAGCTCCAGATGAGGGGAAAACTGGCCTGGGACAGTGGTGTGAGTCTCTCCCTAGACCAGGAACTGACTCCTCTCAACAGAGAGAAAGCAGTGAGGAGCTATGTCCTGAAAACCACGTGCAAACATCCTGTTGAGTCTGCATGGCCATGCCCTCAGTGTACCTTGAGCCAATTAGGGAAAGATGTGCCCTCCAGGCAAATGCAGCCTCCTACCAGAGCACCCCACCAAGAAGCAAGACAAAACCCTCTTGGTCCTAGGTCCCCTCTCCATGCCAGGGAGGCCAGCATCTTCTCTAAGACACTTGCATGCCCCACCCACACCACCTACTGGGCAAAAGCTGAGGGAGAGACAGGGTCACCATGTACACTCAGCTTGCATGAGCAGCAGCAATAAGCCCTCCCGTTCAGTCCAGTGGTTTCACATCCATTCTTAGGCCTGACCCTCATGACAACATTTGAAAACCAAGACCCCAATTTAGCTGTGTTCTCCAGGCCAAGTGCCAGTTGGTAGCAGAATTTGAACCTAACCCCTCATCAGTTACTTGAAACTTAGCTCCTTCCTAAGCCGCATCCCCAGGGAGGAGCACACAGACACCCCTTGTTCAGGAACCCCGTGATCCAGGACACCCATCTTGTCGATGAAGGAAGCAAACTTGTTGTTGAGGCGCTTGATCTGCTCCTTCTCCTCGTGCTTCACGCACTGAGCATTGGGGTCGATCTCCAGGTTGAGGGGCGTGAGCCGGCTCTCGTTGACGGACACGGAGGTGATACTGGGGGGACTGGGCCCACAAAGACCCCCTGCCCGGTAGCCAAAACTGGGCCATTGGCAACTCACTGCCACCTTGGGGGAGCCCACCACACACAGGCTCCTGCTGCCAAAGCCCCCAAGGCGTCTGTAACCCAGCCCCCCAGGACCAGCCCCACAGTGGGCCATGGCACTGACACAGCTGTAAGCCCCTGGATTGGGCACCACGGCAGAGCAGGAGCTGAAGTTCCTCACCCCGCAGCCCCAGCTGATGCGGTAGGAGCAGCTTGCCATGCCTTTGCTGTGCTGGACGGACAGGGAGAGGACTAAAGGACAACAAGGCCTCACAGAGAGCCCTGTCACTGCTCTTGCCTTTTATTGGGCAGAGGACAGACTTCCTGACCACATAAAAGGCAGGAGAAAGTTATTAATGCCATTTATGAGCGTGGGAATCTCCCGCTAGGCAACATGAGGTTGCTGAAACTCACCTCTTTTAATAGGCACACGGAGGAGACCCTGAATGAAAATAAGCCCTTCCCCTGCCTCTCACCCCCACAGGCCCACACAGATCCATCCAGCCCCTCGTTTCCCTCCAATGCTGTGACTAGACCAGGAGTCCCCATCCCACCCCATCCCGCAGGTGGAGGCTGGAGCCAGCACCTTCCTGGAACTAAAGGGTCCTATGATCCATTAAGATCCCTCATGGCCTTAGTGAGACCTTCCAGGCCAGCACAAGTGGGAACTCCTCACACCTTCCCTTGCCATCCCTCACCCACAGTGTGGCCACCGGAGACCACTTCAAGATTGCCCCTCGAAGGCCAGAAGCATATCTATTTACCTTCCATCTTCCTAACAATGAGCACAGTCAGGTCCTCAGGAAGCACTGGTTGACCAAAAGGCCTTGACCCAGGAAGGAGTGGCCAATGGCTCTAGCTCATCTGCAACTGCTAATGGACACTCCACCATAGGCCAGATTAGCAGCTGCCTTGGGAGCAGACAAATGCTGAGGTCAACCAGAACAAGATCCCAGCCTGTGTGCTGAGGAATGCAAAGCCACAAGGACAGAGGTGACCCCTGAGGAACTAGGGAGACGCGGCAGAGGTGGGAAAGATCCATGGGAAACGGGGGTGGGGTGGGGGGATGGTGAACCAGAGACAGAGCACAGAGGGCATGCCCTTGCTTTCTGAGGAGGGCCACTTGAGGCTGGCTGGAGGGTCACAGAGGAGGCAAGACCACAAACAAGTCCTCAGTGATGATAAGCTTTGGCAGGAGAATAGACTGGGATGCAGAGCCACCTTGCAAACCCGATCCCTGGAGGGAATGATTGAGTGCGTGAGATCCCTCACAAAGACAGGGGCTACCACCCATGCCTCCCACCCCATCTTATAGGACACCTTCTTTAGTGCACCTAGGACAGCATGGAAATGGGGTGCAACAGAGGAAAGCACCTGCCTTTCCATAAAGCACAGTACGGCCCTGGCCACAGTCAGGCCAAACCTGCAGCCCCCAGGTTGATGGGGAAAGCTCTCTGTGCAGGAAGATAGGAGGGAAGAGTAATCTTCTGGACCCCCCCGCCCTCAGGGAGGAGGCAACAGTGCACAAGAAAAGAACCAATTACAACCGGAAGAATGAGGTTCTCTCTCTCTCTCTCTCTCTCTCTCTCTCTCTCTCAACACACAAACACACATACACACCCCTCCCAGGAAGAGGACAAAGAAAACAGAATCACAGAATGTAGGATGGATCCAGAGAGAGCTGAAGGGAGTACCTGTCTGAGATGAAGGCCTTGTTTGTGAGTCTACAGGACAGGGCTCCATGGGGGACCCAAGTCACCAGAGCAGGGCTGGGAGATGCTCTATAAACTCAACGCTGAAGGAAACACCCATTCATTCCCTGGCCACTGCCTTGCCCCTCACCATCCACAGAAGTACAGCTCCCACAATAACCTCAACCAGTGGGGAAGAGGTGAATGTGTCCAAAGATGAACAGCTCCTCCACAGCAGATATGCTAACCAAGAACAGCAACATGGAAACCAGCATTCAATATCCATGCTTTGCAGGCTTAGTCTCACACTGGTTTCTGTTGGTTTCCTTTTTTAGTCAACTAGTATTTATTGAGCACCTATTAAATGCCATGGAAGCTTGGGATGCATCGGTGAGTAAAATAGAAAAAGATGTATACTTTTGTGAGCTTACATTCCAGTGGGAAAGATGAGTGACACACTTAATAAAGGAATAAATTCTCTATTAAATGGTGATAAATTCTATGGAACCAAAAAGAAACAAGAGGAACCAGAAAGGCTAAAAGAAAGAGAGAGCATACTTTAAACAAGGTGGTCAGAGGTGGCCTTACTGAGAAGGTGATATTTGGGTAAGGTTTTGGGGAAGTGAGAGGGATAAGCCATATGGACCAAGGAAAGGGCAGGTGTGTCCCCTCCAGGCTGCTGGTGTGGCTTGTACAGCAAGAATGAGGGAGAGACCAGAGAGATATCAAGTGGGTAGCTCCACCGGGATCGTGAAGGGCCAGCATGCCATTGTGGGGACATCTCCTCCCACAGAGTGCTGGGTAGAACTTCAGAGAGTTTTGTACAGAGAAGTGACATGACCTGACATGCTAACAGGACCACTATGATGGCCACCACGAAGCAGACGGTGAGTGAGGTAGCAGAGAGAGGAGGCAGAGGGCTGTGAGGATCTGGGGTCTGAGGAGATGGGGGAGGCTCCTGCCAGGAGGAAGCCCTGTGAGAAGTGATCGGCCGTGAGCAGAATTTGAAGCAAGGGCCAAACGGAATTCTTCACAGACTGAATTTGACATTGAGAGAAGGAGGGACCAAGGAGGCCCCAGGCTCACTTGGGGGGGTTACACTTGCCCTCACAACCAAAAAGGGCAGTAATACAGTGAGACAAGTGCAAAAGCTAAGTGTCACCAATGCTTTCCTGGCTTTGCTGACCTGTCAGCCTGGTACGAGTGTCCTACCCTCACTGGTCCCCATATTCTCCACCAAACAAACCAAGGTCAGAGCAGATGACTCTTAACATTTCCCAGAGAAACCAGGCATTCTGCCTTTTAGTGAAAACCTTTAGAGACCCTCACTCCACTGTGTGCATTGTAGAAGTTCACTGGATAGACCTAGAGATAACATGATCAGACAGAATAGATAAATGATAGATAGATAGATAGATAGATAGATAGATAGATAGATAGATAGATAGATAGATAGTTAGATAGATAATCACTTCATTGATCCTCAGTACCATACATGGCTCTGTACACTTATTTTCATCTTCTCTTTTCTGGGAGTCTTCCACCAGCAGAGTCAGATGTGGTAAAGCCTGACAGGAATCTGAGATTGGCTAAAATCAGTTAGGTTTTGTTTTCTTGCAACCTTCCCCCCCCCCAGCCTGTGCAAATCTCCATGGTGAAGGACATCATATAGGATTGACATCATCCCTGTAAATTAATTTGGTGGGAATAGGGTGCCATGGGAGGTGGATAGGGAGAGCTGGAAGTGATAAGAAAATATTAGGATCAACTTTGATCTGCAGATAAATTATTTGACATCAATTTCTTACCCTCATCAGCAAAATCCAATTAATTACCAGCTTTGTTACATCATCTCTGTCTACACAAACTCAGTCCAGAGTGCAGAGGTGGGATGGCCAAGAGGCAACTGTACTTTTCCTCCTATGCACTTATTACCTTCGTTAAAACAACCTGATCCAGAATTGTCCTTTATATATCAAGTTGGCAATTTTAATATTTCCAAAACTTTCCTCTTCCCAGGTTTGGAAATCAGGAGATCACCACCTCTCCAACCTCAATAGCCCCCATCTTGTTCCCAGAATCAAGATCTTATTTGTATCCTTTTGTTTACAAACTTGTTTTTTGTGTTTGGGGTTTTTAAGTTACTTTATTGAGGTATAACTGTCTTTCTGAAAGCTATGTATATTTGATGTATACAACATAATGAGTTCAAAGATATGTGCCCACCCATGAAACCACCATCACCATCTATGTCATGAACCTGCCCATCACCAGTAAAATTTTCCTACCACACTCTATCACTATATTATTATCATCGTCACCATTATTATTATTATTTGATAAAAACACTTAACAGGGGCTGGAGTTGTAGCTCAGTGGTAAAGTGCTTGCCTAGCGTGGGTGAGGCCCTGGGTTTGATCCTCATCACCACATAAAAACAAATAAATAGGGGCTGGGGATGTGGCTCAAGCGGTAGCGTGCTAGCCTGGCATGCGTGAGGCCCAGGTTTGATCCTCAGCACCACATACCAACAAAGATGTTGTGTCCGCTGAGAACTAAAAAAATAAAAATATTAAAAATTCTCTCTCTCTATCTCTCTCTCTCCTCTCCCACTCTCTCTTAAAAAAAAAGTCTGTTCAAATATTCACACATTTAAAATTATTTTTAAAAAAAACAAATAAATAAAATAAAGGTTAAATTCCTAAACCAAAAAAAAAAAAAAACACTTAACATAAGATCTAACCTCTTAGCAAATTTTTTAGTGTACAATATTTTATTGTTAACTGGAGGCATAATGTTGTTATACAGTAGTTCTCTAGTACTTGTTCATCTTGTAACAACCAAATTGTATGCTGTAACCGTCAAATTTAAGCTGATAGCTCCAATTGCATGTAAAAACTCTACTTTTACTTTATCAGTTTATGTCCTTAATATCAATATGTAGCTCTTTTATTGTATCTATCCCCAACATTTGTGGTTATAGTTAGCCCTCCTGCTTTCATCTTTTAACTTCTATACTTATATTACATATTACATGATTCTGTATTTGTCTGTATATTTATCTTTATCAGTTGTTTTAGCCAGCTTTTTTGTCACTGTGACTAAAGGACCAAACCAGAACAACTATAGAGGAGGAAAAGTTTATTTAAGGGCTCATGGTTTCAGAGGTCCTAGTCCATAGACAGCAGACTCCATTCCTCAGGGTTTATGGCAGAACAGTGTGGCAGAGGGAAGCAGCTCACATGTTGATCAGAAGTCAGAGAAAGGTCTCCACTTGCCAGATGCAAATATATACCCCCAAGCCACGCCCCCAATGCCCACCTCCTCCAGTCACAACCTACCACTTCAATTATCACTCAGTTAATTCCTAATTCACTGATTGGTTAAGACTCTCACAACTCAATCTTCTCCTCTGAACCTTCTTGCATTGTCTCACATGTGAGCTTTTGGGGGCCATCTCACATCCAAACCATAACACCAGTGAAATTAATGCTTTCATATGTTTTTATGTTTGCTACCCAGCGCCATT